TCAATGTCTCAGCAATGGATGCTCTGCAGTGAATGGGTGCCGTCAGAATGAGAGTCCAAACAGCTGATAAAAACATCACAATAATCCACAGCACTCCAGTCCATCAGTTAACATCTGGAGAAGACAAAAGCTGAAACAAATCCAGCATTAAGACGCTTTTAACTCTAAAATCCATAATAGTCTATAATCCATAATAACTATGCTACAAGGGTGAGCACATTTTCAGCACATTTTCATTTTTGGGTGAACTATTCCTTTAAGCATTCTCTAATTTATCTACATTTTCTAATGTAAAAATATGATATTGGAAAAGATGGCATTTTGTCATCCTAGACCCATTTTTACCATTGCATTGCTTTAGATGTGTTGTGTGTCATTTGTTGTATCACATCCGAAGAGTCACAGGAAGTAAATAATTCATAGCTTGATTTGAATTTGAAAATGACGCACTTCACCTTTAAAGATAAATTACAGTATCATATTCCTACATGCTGCAATATTCCTTAAAGGATATTTGTGTTGATTTCTGTGACTCTTGTGTCATAAGCTGTTGTTCTCCTTGTGTCGCAGAGATAGTGAGGATGATCATTCCCCATTACTGTATCCTCCTCCTTTCCGCCAGGTTATGAGGTGTGTCCGTCTGCTTTTTTTTTAAACCTGTGTTTTATTGGAAAAGTCTCTCTCTCCATGTGCTGTGTCTCTATCTTTGATCTGACAGGCTCGCGTTCGGTTAACGTAACCTAAGAGCTGAACGAGAAGTCAGAATTCAGTAGACTCGAACCCGATGGTGATTCGCTTGCATGGACGTCGTTGTTGTCTTTGGAGCGGAGCTTTGCTGTGCGTTTGGGTCTGAAGTGGTTTTATAGCTAAACCGTGTGCTTTAATAGAAACGAGTGTACGGTAGGACGTGGGGATTCATTTGATGATTGTGCACAGCTTGTTTGGTTTATTTTCTATTCATTTGAACCGGCGTTGCGGTGTTTTGTTGCTGAAGGGCTCACAGTTTCCCTCAAAACAAAACTACTCACGGCTCGCATGTTGCTGTGTATCTTGTGCCTCTGTTTTTTAAATTCTACTAATAATTCATTTATCTTTGCTTCTTAGTGATTTGTTTTTTTTTTCCCCAAAACCTCTTTGTGTAAAATAGACATCAGGTAATGCATTCTGTATTGTCTTCTTACAGATAACAAGTGTCTCATTCAATTGATTTTGAGAGTTTGCTGTTAACATATTTCTAAACTAAAATCTCAAAACTCTAATGATAAGTGCAAACATTTACGTTCATTCATTTAGCATTCATTAGTCTAAAATATTCCTTATAAATAAGGAATACAAGCAATTCCTCTTAATGAGGCAAGAACATGAAGTTTTAGCAAAGTTTTGTGGTAAATAATTAATAAAACCGTTCATTGTGAATTGATTTAACTGTTTATGTCACGTTTTTTTAACAGTTTTCTGGTATATTTATAATTAAAATTTCTGTGGTGGTACCACTATTATTATTATTAATATCAATATTATTCATATTTTGAATGAGTTTTTGTTTTTATATTTTATTTTTTTATTTTAAGTTTTGTTCAATTAAAAATGTTATTTTTGTCATTATTATTATTTTTTTTTTATATTTCTATGTAGTTTTTATACATTTTTTTTATTCAGTTTGTTATTTTAGTACGTCAGGTTGATGCAAAATGAGACATGTTTGTTTTTTATATTTTATTATTTTATTTCAGTTAAAGTTTATACTATTATAGTTTTATTTAGTAAATATTTTGAATGAGTTTTTATTTGATATTTTCTGTTTTAATTTCAAGTTTTGTTGACGTATTAGTAAATTTGTTGTTTTTTGTCTTTTTTATTAGTTTTTAATTTATAAATATGTCTAAATGTTTTTTTTTTTTTATTATTTGAGTACAGTTTTTTTTTTATTATTTGAAGTTTGACTAAGTGAAAATGAGAAATGGTGCCTTGACAACCAGCTAAAATAAAATAACATCATAATATAAAGTAAATAATATAATATAAAGAGCTAAAATAATAATATAAATATATTATATTTTATTTCAGTTGAAGTTTAGGATTTATGATCAGGATACTTTTAGGATTTTTTTATGTGTTGTTTGTCATTTTTATTACTTTTTTTTTTATATATATATATATATGTCAATATAGTTATGACCTAAAATAAAAATGTAAGTTTTTTTTTAAATATTTTATATATAAAAATATTTTTATATTTTATTTTAAGTACTGAAACTGTTTTATGGTTCTAGTTTTAGTTAAATATATAATATAGTTAATGTAGCACAGAATGTAACAGATGTTATGCATTGCATTCTAATGTTAGCATAGCTAGAAGTGTGTGTTAATGTGCTCATGTAAAGAGTATTGTGGGCCTAAGAAAGTTTCGTCCTGCTGACCGATCCACAGACTCAGTGCAGAGAGGAGCAGCTGCAGCGCAAGACAACAGGTGTTCAGAGACACCAGAGATCAGCCCTCTGTTTCTGTGATTTACAATAGCTTAAATTAGCCTGAACTCTGGCAACCCCCAAATGTTCAGGACATGAAGGTTGAAAATATGTTTGTAGTAAGAAAGTTGCCGCTGCAGCTTAGTAACAGGGGTATTTTTAACAATGACACGCTCAGGGTTAGGTTATATTTTACACCACATTCATAATGATATGTTTAAATCTCATCTAATTTTCTGATAGGGGTGAGTAGGATGAGCAAAATCAATTTATTAATAGAAAAATGGTTATGTACTTATGGAAGCTATAAAATAATATGTTTTAACTATATAAAAGATCGTTGTGATTTTTTTATTTCACAAGACTCTTAATTCTGAGTTTATATAAATTCTGAAACTTCTCAGAATTGCGAACCTAAGAATTTTAGAATTTTAAGAAAAAAGTCAGAATTATGAAATGCAATTTTAGAATTTTGAGAAAAAAAGTCAGAATTATGAAATGCAATTTTAGAATTTTGAGAAAAAAAGTCAGAATTATGAAATGTAATTCAGAGGGGGAAAAAAAGTTAGAATTATGAAATGTAATTTCAGAATTTTGAGAAAAAAAAGTCAGAATTATGGAATGTAATTTCAGAATTGAGGAAAAAAAGTCAGAATTGTGGGATGTAATTCCGAGGGGAAAGAAAGTTAGAACTATGAAATGTAATTTCAGAATTTTGAGAAAAAAAGTCAGAATTGTGGGATGTAATTTTATAATTCAGAGGACAAAAAAGAATTATGAAATGTAAATTTAGAATTTTTGGGGAAAAGGTCAGAATTATGAAGTGTAAGCTCTGAATTTTGAGAAAAAAGTCAGAATTGCAAGATGTAATTTTAGAATTCGAAGGGGAAAAAAATCTGGATATAAAATGCGAATTCTGAGAAAAAAGTCAAAATCGTGAGATGTAAACTCTGAATTCCGAGAAAATTGTGAGATTGTTTTTATTCTGTAGTAGGAAAAAAAGCAGAATTGCGAGATGAGTTTTCTAAGAAGAAAAATCTAAACGGTGAGACAAAAAGTCACAAGCTTTTTTTATATTTTTATTATTAAGCTTCTATAAATACTTCATGCAAGTCCTCTAGTAAAGCAATGATCAGTGTAATCGAAAGAACTAGTTAGTTTTGTATTGTGGAGCGCAGTAATGCGTTCTGTGTGTTCAGGACTGAGTTAAAGTCTCAGGCCGTGTGTTCCTTTATTAACAGCGGCGCAACACTGTCACTCTCCAGACTCGCAGCTCATCTGTGGACACATTTAACTCCAGCACCTGTTGTTTTTGCACGTCTGGGAGAAATACAAAGCAAATCTGCCCGGCAACACAGACGGGTCTTGACTGTGATTATTTTTGCAGTTTGTCTGGTGCTGCTAGAGGCTCAGAAATGAAACATCTTTAAACTTCCCAAGACTTCAGGCGTCTTTACAGCTGTCAAATTAAAGGTTCTGTACGCAATTTTAGCCGTTATAGCTGCAATGCTGAAGTCAAAGGTCTGTGTGAGACTCGCAAACTGATAGAAGGCCATGCAGAATGATTAAAAGATGAAGAATGTTTGTGATCGGCTAAAAACAGTGCAGTGAATTTCCACTGTCCTGAAATTAAGCGCGTGTCCTGTTTAAGGACAGCTGTGCACAAAAATCAACTTTCAATATTTATTTTCATATTTATTTGTTTGTTTATGTGTATTTTTGCGTTGTGACATTATTTGCGGGACTGAGCACATTTACCCACATTTATTTTATTTTATTATTTTTATTTATTTAATTTTATTTTCCTTTCCTTTCCTTTTTTATTTTATTTTTATTTTTATTTATTGTGACATTATTTGCGTGACTCAGCACATTTACCATCCCAGTTCCTCTAAATAATTTTTTTGTTTTTTTATTTTATTTATTTTCATTTATTTTAATTTATTATTTTATTTTATTTTATTAATTGTGACATTATTGTGCGATTCAGCACATATACCCTCCCAGTTCCTCAAAAAAAAAAAAACTTTATTTTATTTTATTGTAATTTTATTTTATTTTAAGTCAGTTTTTTATCTTTTGTTTTTCTTTCGATTTTGGGGTGAAATGTATTTTACTTATTTGCTGTACTTCAAATGCAACTTCATATGCCGCCTTTGCAGTGTAAAGATGCAGAAAACACTGCTTATTTTCCATTCAGCACAGCAGCAAACAGAAGCTGCAGATTTCCACTCTTATTTCTCTTCCACACTTCAAGTGTGTGAGTGCTGAGTGTGAGTGAGTGTGTGTGTGTGTGTGAGAGTGTGTGTGTGTGTGTGAGAGTGTGTGTGTGTGTGTGTGTGAGTGTGTGAGAGTGAGTGTGAGTGTGTGTGTGTGTGAGAGTGTGTGTGTGTGTGAGAGTGAGTGTGTGTGTGTGTGTGAGAGTGTGTGTGTGCGA